AACACAAGATTGTGCAGCAAAGCATAAGGATTTTGTTATGTGTTCTTCACTAAAATGACTTGCAATTCAAGAATGGATGCTCAACTTCATGCCGTTAAATCTCCTAGCTCAAGTATAATAAATTCATGCTCTTGGATGTTTTGGAAAGCTCAAAACATCCTATATAACTTTCATGTTGGCTATTTTGACAAAATCATCTTGTAACTATGTGAAAAAATGCCAAGAAGTTGGGATAAAATCCTGACTAAAATCTGTTGAAAATTTCTCGAAGTGTTTTTGAAAATGTCATGACTTTAGGAATTTATAAATCAAAATCCAAGCATTTCTAGAACTTGTTTTGTCCTACAAAGTTTTAGATCTCATTGAGATATACAACTTTCATGTTGAAAGTTTTCCTTGAATTATCTTGCATCATGGTGAAAAATTGACATGAAAACATGAAATTATCATGTATAAAAACACTTAGAAAAATTTATAAGTCTTGAAGAGTTTGACTTTTCACATTGAATTTTGACTTTCTTGATTTCTTGACGACCAAACTTGATATTCTTGAATGTCTTGATGAATTTTGACCTTTGAGACTTAATGTTGACCCAAGAGTAAAAAATTGACTTTTCAGTATACAATTGACTTTTTCATCAATTGACCAAATTTCATCTATCAATCCACTGATCTTGAGAAATGTTTTGAGATATGCAAATAGGTCAAAATGATGCATTTAAATTCTTGAGATCATGTTTCGAACCAATAAGTCATGTATTAGGTAAAAAGTCAGTGATCAGTCGCTTTCAGTCAAAACTCTAATTTGTGGTCTCAGTGTTTCGAAGGTGATTTTGTCTGATCAATTCCTGAGAATCCTTGAGCATTGGAGATCCTTTGTGAAATGTCTTGAGAAAAGAGATGGCAAATTTTGGAGTACAACACTTGACCTCTAACTTCTAATTCACAAACAATTAACTTTACTTTATGCCTTTATTTTGTGCCTTTACATTTATGTACCATTTATTTTTTAGCATTTACATCCATGTTATTTGCCTTTTGCTTATTTCAGCATTTTTTGTGACATTTTTTCTTTGCTCATTTGAGCTTTCTTTTCTTTTAAAGACACTTAATAATCAACTTGAACATTAAAAGCTTTAAGGTTACTTGGACTATCTGATTATCATCCCTAGCACTGTGGAGTTGTGGATTTCTGAGACTTAAGATTAGAAGCCATGAGACCTTGGAACTCTGTGATCTTTGATTGATATTTTTGTGAAGATCTTATGAAATTCTTGGGATTTACTCCAAGGCATTAGTTTGAATTTTTTGTGTGCAGGTTATTCTGATTTTTATATTTTGTTTGTGATTGAGAATTCCTCTATATATAGTTGTTACTCTGACCAATTTTTGTCAATGAAGATTTTGCTTAGTTCTTAATTCACCTAAAGCTTGATATTCATCAGAGGTTTAATATTTTTGCTTGCTTGGTTTTAATCCAAAGGATGAGAATTCTACATTGACTTCTTATGCCAAGTGTTGACTTCTTGTTGGTTAGATTGTTCTTTTCCTTATCTTTTACCTTATGCTTTAGGATAGTCCCTCCATCTCCTCTCATCTTCTTTAATTTCAAAAATCTTCTCTATCCTTTTCAAAACTCTTCTTGTTTTCTAACTTGAATCACTTTCATAATAAACTTGGACTTAAGTCCATGCATTTTCAAAAAATCTTTTTTTAATCAAACTTTAATCAATTTAACCATACTTTGATATTTTTTTTAAGACTAAAAGTCATTAGCCTCATTCAAACCATTTTGCCACTTTGGCTTTTCACCTTAAAACTTTTCTTAAAAGATTAGACTCTTGTTGATTCTTGTAGTGACGCAAACTACTATACTTCTACGATATATAGTGAATAGAGTGACCGATGTTTCGCATTTTGATGGCGAGCGAAAAGAGAGGCGTCTTTTGTGGATGTGGGGTGAGCCTATATTTTTGGACATATTTGTATTTATAAAAATGGACTACTAAGTTCTAATAAGTAGTTATTTCAATTGAACTCGCATAGCCGTATCTTTCACCGGCGTCGATCCTACTTCCAAAGCTCACTCGCTCGCTAGCTAATGTGTTCTCCCCCCTTCTTCTTCCTTCATCATTTGAAAACTCACAAACACAACAATGTCCTCTTAAACTAACTTCACCATCAAATAGTCAAAATGCCCATGCTGATACGAAGGCCACTACTAAATTACTCCGCCATCCTCAGAGTCGCAAATGACCTCAGATATGGTGTGCCTCTCAGGCACGAAACCTCCGCTCTTCCATTCTTACACCAACGAAATTTCACTTATGTCTCCACTGATGATTCCGACTCCGAATCCGACTCTTCTCACTCTCAACCACCATCTCTCAAGCGTCCGCTGAAAGGGGTATGTATTGATTTACATCCAAGCTTTTATTTTTGTTATTTGAATCCTTTATATTAGGAACAATGATGTTATATAAATTAAAATTCTTATTGTGAATTTCTGTCAATTTTTCTTATGCAGTGCTTAGAAAAGGCCCGAACTTTGGATGAATCGCTTCTTCACTTCAATGAGCTAGACCCATCTTTGAAAAGGACACGAATTTGCAAAGACTTGTTGATGGGTTTGCTCAAATCGGGTCGTATTGACGATGCCCGCCGCGTGCTCGATCAAATGCTTGAACCGGATTCGGAGTTTCCTCCTGATAATTTCATCGGTGAAGTTGTTTTTGGTGAGTTGGTTAAGAGGGACCGACCCGGAAAAGGCTTTGCTGATGAGGAAATTGTGGGGTTGGTTATTAAGCTTGGTGAGCGCGGGGTTTTTCCCGATACATTTAAGCTTACTCAGATGATATCCAAGCTGTGTGGGAAATGGAAGAACTCTGTAGCGTGGGAACTTTTGCACGCTGTGATGAAATTGGGTGGTACAGTTGAAGCTGTGTCTTGCAATGCTTTGTTATCGGGGCTTGGAAGGGAAAGAGATATTCCGAAGATGAATAAACTGTTGGCGGAGATGGAAGAAAGGAAAATATATCCTAGTGTCATAACATTTGGGATTCTTATTAATCATTTGTGCAAGAGTAGGAGGATTGATGAGGCGTTGGGGGTGTTTGATAAATTGAGAGGTAAAGGAGAAAAGAATCGGATTGGTGTTGAACCTGATGTGGTCTTGTATAATACTCTGATTAATGGACTTTGTAAAGTTGGGAGGGAAGATGACGGTTTGAGTTTGTTGGAAGAGATGAAAAATGAGAAGAAAAATAGGCCAAACACGGTTACATATAATTGCTTGATTGATGGGTTCTGCAAAGCTGGCAACATCGATAAAGCACGCGAGCTATTCAATCTGATGAATGAGGAACAAGTACTGCCAAATGTGGTCACCCTCAATACATTGGTTGATGGTATGTGCAAAATCGGAAGAGTCTATAGTGCAGTTGAATTTTTCAACGAAATGAAAGGCAAGGGCCTGAAAGGAAATGCTGTTACTTACACTGCACTGATATCTGCCTTCTGTGGTGTGAACAATATTGATAAAGCCATGCAATATTTTGATGAGATGTTGAGTTCTGGATGCTCACCGGATGCAATTGTTTTCTATAGTTTGATATCTGGTTTAACCATTGCTGGAAGGATGGATGATGCCAGTGTTGTTGTCTCACTGTTGAAACGTGCCGGGTTTGGTCTTGATAGAGCTTGCTACAATGTTCTCATCAGTGGATTCTGCAAGAAGAAGAAGCTGGAACGAGTTTATGAAATGCTCAACGAAATGGAAGAAACTGGAGTTAAGCCCGATAGTGTCACCTATAACACTTTGGTTTCTTACCTTGGCAAAGCCGGAGATTTCGCAACTGCTTCTAAGATGATGAAAAAGATGATTAAAGAAGGTCTTAAGCCCTCTGTTGTCACATATGGGGCAGTTATACATGCATATTGTTTAAAGAAGAATATTGACGAGGCCATGAAGATTTTTGAGGAAATGTGTTCTACATCTACGGTTCCTCCTAGTACTGTGATATACAACATTTTAATAGACGCTCTATGCAAAAATAACGATGTTGAAAAAGCTCTTTCTTTGATGAATGACATGAAAGTAAAGGGAGTTCGGCCTAATACAACCACATATAATGCTATTCTGAAGGGGGTCCGGGATAAGAGAATGTTGCCTGAGGCATTTGAACTTATGGACAGGATGGTGGAAGATGTTTGCAGTCCTGACTATGTAACCATGGAGATTCTTACTGAATGGCTTTCTGCTATTGGTGAAACAGAAAAACTGAAACTTTTTGTCGAAGGATACCGGGTTTCCTCTAATCCATCATCTCTTCAAACTTCATTATGCAGTAGGCTTGAACTAAGTCAAAATGATTAGCTTTTATTTGTCTGAGCTCCAATTTTTTATTTTCTTTTGAGCTCATCTTCAAACCATTATAGCTGAATTAAAACTTGAATTCTACATGTAAATTTATAATTTATTCCTGTTTAAATTATTCTCATCATGATTTTGTTACATTTTCAAGTTGGTTCTTATTTTAATGGAGTACTCCTAAAAACAATTATGCACTTCCCTTATGGTTGGCAGCCTGAGACTACCAATGATTGTTTATCGCTATCTGTTGGTCATCAGTACTGCTGTCACACGTTAGAGGGTTCTTTTAAAGTGAGAGTGCTCACTTTAGAGGGGAAAGTGAACTCATCTTTAGTGTTGCTAAGATTTATATAGATTTGAATTATATTCTATTGAGAAAAATCTCTCTATGATTAGCTTTGTTAGTTTATTTATCTCTAATAATCAAGATATCTGATTACAGATTTGAATGTATTGACTTATAAATAACAAAAGCTGAGAATAATTTTCTCTCAAGTATGGTATCTGGAGCTCAAGTTCATTTTATTTTTTCTCCCAGTCTCGTCAGGTAATGTTTTCCGACCAACACTAAGTTCCGACCCTTTGCGCTTTAAAAAAAAACAAGTCAGAACACATTGCATTTGTCACCTCATAGGGTGACTGACACATGACCCACTGTTGGTCTCGTCTGGCACTGATCTATTAGAATCCAAAACGAAGTTGCTGGAAAATGTTTGATGCGCTCACCTGCGCTGCCCTTACTGCAGCCTTCCACAGGTGCGCAAGACCCATCCGCTGCCTTAGCCTTACAGAAGTCTGTTTGAAGCGCTCTTTCCATAGTTTGACTCGCTGGCGTCTCCTCTATTTCTTCAAGGGGATAATCGTCTGATTCAGTACCATAATTAGAGGTGTCCGGTCTACCTCTTATATTTGCTCTATTTTTTGCATAGCATGTCTCTACGCACTGTAACAGACCAGTTCCATTTGCAAAGATGACATATGTAATGAGTGGGCTCAAGTTCCATAAGCCATTAGGATTAAAAGTGGTGAGTCACTACTATTTAGAAGAAGGATCTAGATAGTGATTAGTTAGTTGATTTCAATGCTATAAGTAGGTGTTTGGTAAATGTAATTTTCATCAATGAAAATGAATGTAAAAGTTAGTTTTATAGTTAGTATTTTTAGTGTAGTTTCTCTCTATTTCTCTTAGTCTCAAAAGCATGTTCATAACAAATGGTACTTTCATTGTCATGGATTCTCCTCCCTACCATTACTATCATCACTACCATGATCCTACCACTATCAACACCCATACTTTGTTAAAACCCACAACCTCCATGGCATCACCTCAAAACTTCAGTTCTTACACTAAATCCATTATTCAACAAATCTTGGATTCTCAACAAATCTGCCTCCAAAAGAATCAGATATGCAATCGCCATCACCGGTAACAAGTTCTAATCAATCTCTGGGACCTTCCCCACCACCGAAGCCGTCGGATCTACCATTAAAACCACCGTTCAAATCTTCTTTACTGCAACCATCATCACCTGTTTCACCGATCAAAATCTCGTAATCACCGGCAGTACCACCACCACAGAAACAACCAGAGTCGTCACCTCCAAAACCACCTGGTTTCTGCAACCAAGACACACAACTTCTCTCCACCGTTGGATCTTCATCAAATTTCTTTAGATAAATCACAACCATTAAGAGATAATCATTTGAACATCATTTTGAGAGGCATTTCAGAGTGTTCTTTGAATGGAGGAGTTACAATAGATGAAATGTCAAGCTTGCAATCTCTCTTGGTGAATTCTCTGTCTCATTTTGAGTGTTTGGAAGATGTGTTTTGTCCGAATCATTTTCCTAAAATCTTGGATATATTGCATGGGAAATTTCAGGATGTTGTCTTTTTGCACATCCATAATATGGCAACGAGGAGTGGCCGTATTAGGGACCCAACAAGCATACATTTACTTTTTGAAATTTCTCGGACTCTATATGATAATATGAAATTTATAAATGTAAAGAATGATAATAGCCAAGTTGCACGTTTAGTATCTAACTTTGTGCACTTGGTAGATTATGGAGTAGAGATGGAACATCATTTTGCATTTCTGGTTGATTGTCGAGCAACTTTTGGCAGATTCAATGAGCTTAAGGAAACTCTCGTTCACTCCAGCAATTCTTTAGCAAATCAATCTTTGCAATGTGCTAAGAAAGATCTGAGTTTTTTCAAGTCATGTGTCACATTTAGCGAAGTCACAATACCTTATATCTCTAGTCAGAGACAATTTGATCTTTTTCTTGAGACTGCAGAGGTTGCTTTCTTAGGGGGTTTGGTTTCTCATGTAGATGGATTGATTGATTCAGGAATCAACTGTTTGCATATCTTGGACAAAGATGATGGCCTTCGAACTCTAGCTGATATTGAAGGTCTAGTTTCATCTATTAGAAAGTTGTGTGGCTTCTTAATCATGGTCCCAGTTCTAGAAAATGAGTATGAGCTTTTCCACCATTCACAATATGCAAAGTTTCATGTGGATCCATCTGCAGTGAAACTTGAATTTTGCTACATGAATTTTGAAGTTGATATAAATGTCAATGGTGGTTCCACTTCTTTGAAGTATCCATCAGGCACTCCAAGAGAATGCTATGTGACTCTTTTGGATAATGAAATTATGCTTTTAACATTCATGTACTTCATGGATGAGATAAATGTTTTTTTCTCCATTTGCTTCGACTATTTTGGGCCCCCTGCAAGCATATAGGGAATACACATTTGATTTCTACCTAACAATTAACATGAGAGTTTCATGCACTTTAAGTGCAGAGATGAAAGAAATCAATTTCTTTCCTTCAAGATACTAAGAAGTCTTTGCAATTTTGAGGACAAGGTTGTTTTCCAAAATCGATGGAATGTAATGAGTAGGCCCAAGTTCCATAAGCCCATTAGGATTAAAAGTGGTGAGTCACTACTATTTAGAAGGATTTAGATAATGATTAATTCGTTGATTTCTGTGCTATAAGTAGGTGCTTGGTAAATGTAATTTTCATCAATGAAAATGAATGGAAAAGTTAATTTTATAGTTATTAGCATCTGTTAGTGTAGTTTCTCTCTATTTCTCTTAACCTCAAAAATATATTCATAACAACATCCGTCAGTCTTTTCTTATCTCTATGGCAGCTATGCATAGTCGGCATCTTTATTAGTTAAATTATGAAAATGAATTCTTACCTAGTGATTTAGTTGAGGAAGTCTATATAGAGCAACCACCCGGGTTTGGTGCTTATGGAGAGTCACATGGCTTTATTTGTAGATTGTAAAAAGTCTTGTACAGTCTCAAGCAGAGTTTAAGAGCACACTTTGGTAGATTTAGTTCGGTTCTTCTAGATTTTGGAATGCTCCGCAGTGAAGTTAACCATTTAGTGTTTTTATCTTGTACACCAGAGTGGTATTCAAGATCTCTTACCTTTGATTGCAAGCCCACTGACACATCTATGGATCCAAATACCAAACTCGTGTCAGATCAAGGGAGTCATTTTCAAATCCGTGTATATATTGAAGGTTAGTTGGATAGTTAAACTACATTACTGTGACAAGACATGACATATCATCCGTCGTCAGTTGCTTAATTCTCCATGTGATAATCATTGGAATGCAATGATTTGGATCTTGAGATATATAAGGGATCTTCAGAAGTGTAGAAGTATATGAGAATAAAGGTTTAAGTGATGTTGCATATACAGCCGCAAATTAAGCTTGATGTCTTAGTGATTGAGGCTCAATATTTGATTATTGTGTGCTTAATGAAGAGAATCTTATTTACTGGAAAAACAAAGTGTTGTTGCTAGATCTGTACAGAGGATGAATATTGAGCTATGCCTCTCCTTACATGTGAACTTATTTGGCTGAAACAACTCCTTCATAACTTAAAGTTTTGCAAGCAGATGCATTAACTCTCATTTGTGATATTTAGACAATTTTGTATATTGCATCATATCTGATCTTTTATGAAGGTACCAAACACATGTTGTAGTTATTCAAAATCTATCTTTACCTCTAATAGCCACTAAGCCCTCACACAAATCACAATATTTTATGAAATAATTCAATCAATTGATAATCCAAAATTTATCTCTCCCAATTCACTCTTAATGACTATAAAATAGCATAACATGCTTCACGAAAATACCTTTACATATCTTCAATTCTATTGTGATTGTCATTTATATCACTTTCATACTCTGAGAGAAGATGAAGAACTTGATCGGGTAATTTGGAGAATGATTTAAGTGACTTTAAAATGAAAAGTCATGTGATTTTAGGGTCCGTTTGGTTGGATGATTTTGGAGGGGCGGGGAGAGGAGGAAATATTTTAAGTTAAGTATGTTTGGTTCAATTTTTTATGAGGGGAGGGAAGGAGATCAGAGGTAATCAGATTTTCTCCTGGAGCAGTTCTTCGTTCCTCCCAAATCGAAGAGATTTGACGGGGAGGGGAGAGAGAGAGAGTAGTTATGATAAAATATATTTTGGTTATATTGACAAAGTTAGCCTCATTTATTTATTAAAATCCTAAATTATTTTTAATATATATTATACATTAATTTTTGTCCTCTTAGTAGAATTTCTCCATTTTTTATGACAACTTCATTATTTTTTATTAACATGTTGACTCTATTTTTTTTTTCATGTGTGTTATTTTATTCATTTTCATTTATTATTTTATTTGTAAAAACTTAACTGCTTAATAAGTTATTGAGTTGTATTACATGTCTATATATAATTGGAGTATATGAGCTATATATATTATCTAGAATTTAATTTTATAAATTTTTTATAGGATTAGATGGATCATCAAGATGATAAAATTATTCATCTGATCACAGATTATATAATTATTGTATGAAATATATCAATATTTTATGTATGTTTTAATATATTTTTAAGTATTTGAAATATTAAATATTTTGTGTTTGATTATTTATGTTGATTATGAATTAAATTTTATTGTGTGAATATCACTTTGTTTTTATGTTATTTAGCATGAGTGTTATACTATTTTAAAGTTTAAAAGGTAAATTAGTTTTAAAACCGAACATATTTTTGATTAAAAATTCTCCCTCCCCTTCCCTCCTCCTCTTACCTTTGATTGCTAGTCCGCTGACACATCTATGGATCCAAATACCAAACTCGTGTCAGATTAAGGGGGTCATTTTCAAATCCGTGTATATATTGAAGGTTAGTTGGATAGTTAAACTACATTCCTGTGACAAGACCTGACATATCATCTGTCGTCAGTTGCTTAATTCTCGATGTGATAATCATTGGAATGCAATGATTTGGATCTTGAGATATATAAAGGGATCTTCAGAAGTGTAGCAGTATATGAGAACAAAGGTTTCAGTGATGTTGCATATACAACCGTAAATTAAGCTTGATGTCTTAGTGATTGATGCTCAATATCTGATTATTGTGTGCTTAATGAAGAGAATCTTATTTACTGGAAAAACAAAGTGTTGTTGCTAGATCTGTACAGAGGATGAATATTGAGCTATGCCTCTCCTTACATGTGAACTTATTTGGCTGAAACAACTCCTTGATAACTTAAAGTTTTACAAGCAAAGGCATTAAGTCTCATTTGTGATATTTAGACAGTTTTGTATATTGCATCCTATCTGATCTTTTATGAAGGTACCAAACACATTTTATAGTTATTCAAAATCTATCTTTACCTCTAATAGCCACTAAGTCCTCACACAAATCACAATATTTTATGATTTAATTCAGTCAATTGATAATCCAAAGTTTAACTCTCCCAATTCACTCTTAATGACTATAAAATAGCATAACATACTTCACGAAAATACCTTTCCATATCTTCAATTCTATTGTGATTGTCATTTATATCACTTTCATACTCTAAGGTGAAGATGAAGAACTTCATCGGGTAATTTTAAGAATGGTTTAAGTGACTTTAAAAGGAAAAGTCACGTGATTTTAGGGTTCGTTTGGTTGGGTGATTTTGGAGGGGAGGGAATAGGAGGAAATGTTTTAAGTTAAGTATGTTTGGTTCAATTTTTTATAAGGGGAGGGAAGGGGATCAGAGGTAATCAGATTTTCTCCTGGAGCAGTTTTTCGTTCTTCCTAAATTGGAGGGATTTGGCGGGGAGAGGAGAGAGAGAGGAGTTATGATAAAATATATTTTTGTTATATTGACAAAATTATCCTCATTTATTTATTAAAATCCTAAATTGTTTTTAATATATATTATACATTAATTTTTATCCTCTTATTAGAGTTTTTCCATTTTTTATGGCAACTTCGTTATTTTTTATTAACATGTTGACTCAATTTTTTTTTTCATGTATGTTATTTTATTCATTTTCATTTATTATTTTGTTTTTAAAAACTTAACTGTTTAATAAGTTCTTGAGTTGTATTACATATCTATATATAATTGGAGTATATGAGCTATATATATTATCTAGAATTTAATTTTATAAATTTTTTATAGGATAAGATGGATCATCAAGATGATAAAATTATTCATCTGATCATGGATTATATAATTATTGTATGAAATATATCAATATTTTATGTATATTTTAATATATTTTTAAGTATTTTAAATATTAAATATTTTGTGTTTGATTATCTATGTTGATTATTAATTAAATTTTATTGTGTGAATATCACTTTGTTT